AGGATCGGCAACATGAATGCCAACATCCAATGACGGATATGGCACTAGAAGAAGAAGAAACTACTATAGGACAACAGTCCAATAGAGAGCAGTTGGCTTACTTGTAAAATCCAGCTTTAAATCCTTAGAACCTTGAAATAGGAAGCCAAAGGCAATAAAGACGTGCCTTTGCAATAAAGACATACAGGGGAGAAAAGTAATTATAGTCAAAACAGTGTAAATCAACACTACTTACTGTAGTGTTTAATAATTTTCTCTTCTTGTGAATCATCCTAACTTCTACCCCACCTATCCACTACATCAGACATTGCATTATAATTATAACACATTAAAATCTATATAATATTTATTTATTTATTTATTTATTTATTTATTTATTTATTTATTTATTTATTTAACTTGATTTGTATGCCGCCTTCTCTCCATAGGACTCAGGGCGGCTCACAACAATTAAAATCAAAACCAGATAAAAACATTAAAATACAAATTAAACGTATGTAAAAAACTCACTCAAAAATATAAAACATATACTCAAAGTTTGGTAGGAAACCAGATTTTAGAGACACCAGTTGACTATTTCAACTGAAATAGCCTTGGTAGTACAGGGGTCTAAGGCACCCTGTTATTAAGCTGGTTATTAAGACCAGCTGCCTGCAATTACTGCAGGGTTCGAATCTCGCCAAGGCTCAAGGTTGACTCAGCCTTCCATCCTTTCTAAGGTAGGTAAATTGAGGACCCAGTTGTGGGGGCAATAAGCTGACTTTGTATAAATATACAAAAGGATGAAGGCTATTGCTGAGCACATTGTAAGCCGCCCTGAGTCTCCGGAGAAGGGCGGCATATAAATCAAATTTAAAAAAAAAAAAACTATTTCAAATTTATTATCCTTGAATATCATGTTTCATGTTTTGGGTTGCCGCTTCCATTGAACCAGAACAATTTGCAAGGAACCTTCTGATAGAATCTTCTCATTCAATAACAATGCAAAGAATAGATGCCAAAATTGCTAACAAGAATATCTTGCAGGTCATAGAAAGCACAGGTGGCACGGTGGCTCAGCAATTAAGATGCTGGGCTTGTTGGCTGGAAAACCGGCAGCCCAGGTTCGAGACCCAAGCTCCACACAACAAGGTGAACTCCCGTCCTCACCCCAGCTCTCAACCTAGTAGTTTGAAAGCGTACAAATGCAAGTAGATAAATAGGTACCACTTTGGTGTGAAGCAGGCCTGTTAAACGTGCAACCCATGGGCTGGATGCATCATGTGCAGATCACGTCCACCCCGGCTCTGCAAAGGCAAAAAATGTTACGTTATGAGAATGGTGATGACCTTGCAGGGACTGTTGGTTATAAATCAGAATTTGAAATGAGTTCACAATAACTGGTCCCTAAATTTAAGCAGCATACCACCTTTCTAGATTTCTTAGGCAAAACTAGGTTAATATTTCCCATTTCTCTTTTTGTGTTGGCCAGAAAGCTCCAGGAATACCCTTTCCTGTAACTGCAGATTTGATTTTTGATCTATGGACTAACTCACATGTCCTTATTTTGGGTTCTAGAAGAACTGCTGAGGCACCAGTTGTCCCTGTCAAACAGGGTGTATCATGATTTCTTTTGGAGGAATTGCTGCCAAGCTGGAAAGAGACCGTCTGCGAGCTGAAGGTGTGGGTGACCACCAAAATGCTGTGAAGTACCTTGGTCAAGATTATGATACCTTGAAGCAAGCATGTTTGGAGAGTGGAACATTATTTGAAGACCCCCTGTTTCCTGCTGTTCCCTCAGTCCTTGGCTTCAAGGAACTGGGCCCTAATTCTGGCAAGACCCGTGGGGTGCGCTGGAAGCGCCCATCAGTGAGTATCTGTGTGCTGAGTAGTGGGATGATTTGATATTGTGGTCTGCATTCAAATATAGACAATTTCCTTGTGGCTTACTGAACCAACTCTAATATATTTGGCAAAACCTTATTTTAACAGACCCATTTTAGTAAACTTCAGATACAATAGACAAATTTTTTTTGTCTGGACAGCATCTCAAACTAACTGACAAATTCATTACATCCGAAGTAATTTGGACTATGCATTAAAGATAGATTGCAGTAAATGATATATGTTTGGATTTAAAGGACATTTAGGAGTTACAAATTTAACAACAATCTCTTAAATAAACCATTAAATCAAGGCTTTACTTTAGTTATTTTTATGGTCTCTATCTGTGTCCTTATTAGTAATATTTGCTGTTCCTAATTTCAAAACATCTGTGCAGTTTATGAAGTATGGACAGGAGCCAACTCCAAGACTGATTACAACACTATTCAATAACTGGATTAATGTATTAAGTCATGACTCGAACAACTATGCAATGTTAAATATTGCACAGATGGCCTGGTTAGTATACTGTATTGTGTTAAGCCATGAAAATTCATTGTTACATTGTAGATTATCCCAGGTCTATAATTTAACAGAAATTTATTTTGTAAACTTCATATATAGCGTGTCTAAACTATGAGATGCAAGCTCATTACTTCAAATCTCAGTTCAGTTATGGCTTAGTTTCCACTTTCTCCTCTCATCTGTCATGCAGATTATTTAAGCCTTACTGAAGCAATATAATTGTCTGAGCAGATACAAAAACAATTGTTAAATATGGAGCATGGTGAAGTTTTTTTTTAAAAAAAAAATAGCTTATTTAATTCTCTTAGAGAATTACAAGATATTAAATTAATCTTATAATACAACTTAAGGTAAATATGTAGGGCAAAGATTCATTCATACAACTCATAACACATGGATTAGCATTCATTTTTATTTAGATGTGCATAGGAAATTGCATGTTGCACAACTATCAAATATTGTAAATATTTAAACATGAAATTGCATGTTTAAATACTGTTGGGCTCATTGTCATGGACATTAGTTTTCTCAGGCCTCTAGTTTTTGGTTACAAATACAGGATGGAGAAATAATCTTGAATAAACACAGCCATTTATGCTCCTAATATAGGAAAATGTTTCAAGGCTATGCGTGGCAAAGTCATGATTAGTGATGCAGGATATAAAACAGTTTGGTTGCAAAAATAAAGTTATAATAAAGAGTCTTAAAAAATAGGCCTCTCCATATAACCTGACTAATACGTATGAATTGGGAAGGACACTGGGAAAGAAAGAACCTACCTGAAAACATGGTCATGTTTGAAGATCTCCTTATAGAAACTTTAGCACAACTCCTAATAGTGTCTATCTACTGTAGAAGTCCATCAACTATGGGACCACAGAATCATCAATTTCTATAGAATCACCATTCCCTGTAAAGCAGAGGGTTTTTTTTTACAGAGCTTTGGAATAAACTCACAAAGTCACACAATGCCATGTAAGGAAGGTGATTACAGTGGGTGTTAGTCCTACTGGTTTATAAAAGACAATAGACCTATTTGATTAAATAAAGCATTATGCTGAGTCTCATAATAGAAGAAAAGCATTTGTAAACGTACAAAAGAATTAGCGGGTCTTAGAAGGTTGGACTTATTATTGGCTAGCAAAAACAATAAAGGAACCTAGAGAAGAATGGATAGTGAGTAACTTTAACCTTGCTCAGAAATCCATTTACTTAATTTTTCTTTAGCCACATTGCATGCATATTGTATTTCATGTTTTCCCTTGTGTTTATATGAGAACAATGAGGAAACCTCCTTCACAATATGTCTTTTGACAGGAAATTGTAGGTGACCCTCAGTTTATTGTTGGAGGTGCAACAAGGACAGATATCTGCCAGGGGGCTTTGGGTGAGTATTGTATAGTTAATTACATAACAAGTGGTAAACTGATGGCTACATAAGCATTAATCAGAGATGCTGGGGTGATTTAATTGTTTCATTAATTATCTTCGCATTAAAACCTAGTGTGGTCCTTTGGTTTTTGTTTGTTTTTAATAAATTTAGACCAGTAAATTGAACTTTCCTATTTTCATTGCTGCTAAATTTTTGGTGGATTTAGTTCCATATAACAGGCTTTTTGGTTATTCACAGACAGAATGTGACTTCCATCTTTCCATCAACTATCACGAAATAATTAACATGGGGTTTGCATCTTTTCAGTTCAATAATGCAGAGTCTTTTCTCTTGTGTACTGAATCTACATTAATATGGAGAAGGAGAAAGGGAGCAATTATTTGAAAAAATTGGGAGCAAATGCAATGTCCTCCACTTACATAGGATATAAACATGGAGAAGGATGGGTATTTTGATCACATTGATCCCAATCATTTCTGTAGAGAGGGCCTTTTCATGCCTCTTAAGAAAGCGAGGATCCTTCACAATATTCTTTCTGTTTTCAATATAATTTCTGGAAAAAAAATTGTAAAGATAACAGAAATCTAACATTGATATAAAATGGGTTAATCAGAGAATATTTATTCAGATAAAAGTAATAGTCTTTGTATGTATGTTATAGCTGTGAGAGAACCATTCAAAACTCTCAAGCATCTTGAAATCATTGATGTAGACAATAAAGGCCTTTATTATATTAGCAAGTAGAGTGGTACATTTTTAGTGTAATGCGTATTCTAGGCTTTGCACTATTAAAAATCCAAAAGATGCCAAGGAAGTTTTTCAACTGTTCTCATCAAGTTATATTACAAAGTTTGTGTGAGTTTTAAGGCTTAGTCTTTCAAATAACCGATTTCACCTTACAAATTAGGACTGGAATTATATGGGGGGGTGGGAGCAGTGGTGGGATTCAGCCAGTTCGCACCACTTCGGGAGAACCGGTTGTTAACTTTCTGAGCAGTTTGGCAAACTGGTTGTTGGAAGAAATCATTAGGGCAGAGAACTGGTTGTTAAATTACTTGAATTCCCACTGGGGGGTGGGGGGTGGGGAGTATGGCGATAGTTGCGTAGGCTGCAGAGCAAACCAAGCAGAAGAATTAAGAAGGTTAACCCTGCTTTGACTTCTGAATATACTGTATTTAAAAATACAGCAGCCCTTAGAGCTGCAAAATTCAAAATTAAGAGGATTAGTTTTATTAAGCTGGAAATTTCAGAATACTCATTTCTGTAGTGAGAGTGCCATTAGGAGTCTCTGTGCATTATGTATATTATGTATATTCTTCAAGGTAGATCAATACCTCTTGGCTGCTTTAACTCTTTGTAGATTCATTAGATCTGAAAGTTCTGTATCTGTGAACAAAGGAATTCGATATTGTAAATATTTTTCCCCAAAAAACAAATGTTCTGTTTAGGTCAGCATTAAATTATAAGCAGGGATTGGAAGTGCCTCACAGTAAAAAATACCATCTGGCAGAGCATTATTTTGGTGCATTCATGAAGATTTCTTGCCACATCAATCATTTTTATGATGGATGAATGGGAATCAGTATAGTCATTTTTTGATAAATTAAAGAGGATGGGAAGGAGATGTGACAAGTGATTTCCAAAAATGTCTTTCTGAAGTATCTCATAGGTCCAAAGCAGTGGTGAAATGTAAAATTTGTTACTACCGGTTCTGTGGGTGTGGCTTGGTGGTGGGGGTAATGTGACTGGGTAGGCTTTTTTTTCTTTTACTTTTAAAAGCATTTTTTCTACCCTCTTCGGCCGAAGAGGTTGTAAAAAAATCCTTTTAAAAGGCTCTGACAGTCCAGCTGAGTTGCCTGATCGTCAGAGGCTTTTGTTTTCTTTTAAAAGCATTTTTTTTTTTTGCTTTTAAAAGAAAAAGCCTCTGATGATCAGGCAACTCATCTGGGATCGTCAGAGCCTTTTAAAAGGATTTTTTCTACAACCTCTTCGGCCAAAGAGGTTGTAGAAAAAATGCTTTTAAAAGGCTCTGACGATTCCAGCGCGTGATTATCAGAGGCTTTTTTTTTTACATTTTACTGCCGAAAAAATGCTTTTAAAAGTGAAAAAAAAAAGCCTCTGATGATCGTGCAGCTCAGCTGGGCATGGGGGGGGTGGGCGGGCGCAGGGATTTTTGCTACAGGTTCTCCAAACCACCCGCCGCCATTGCTACCGGGTGATCCGGTCCGAACCGGGAGCATTTCACCCCTGGTCCAAAGTGTCCTTTCCTGGAGCATAACAAGATAGAACCCCCGTGGCAAACAAAGACAAACTGTGTGTCAATCATAGATTTTTTAATAGATTTTCTTTGTCCTTTCTCATCAACTTGAACTGTACCAATTCTCTTCTCTGCTTCTTGCATTTGTTGCAAAAATATCCAAGATTAGTTTCAGGCAGAAGGACAAATTTATTACAATCACTGCAGACTCCTGTAAATCCATCTTCATTTTTTCTTAGAGTACCACCTATGGAAAGACTTTTTCCTTCCCATCTCTCGAGCTTTTAGATTAACCAAGTAAAAACTGTTGATTTAGAGGAACAAACAGAGATTCCTCTTAAACTCTTTAACGCAAACTACTCTCCCTGTTCATTCACTTGGTGAGCTCACTCCCTTGAACAGGCTGCCTTATAAGGTGCTGTGTGATAGAAAATGTTAACTTTTCCCCTCTTCCTAAACAAGACAGCTTAAAGGGAATACTTTGCTAAGAAAAGAATAGCTGACTATAGAAAGAATATAGGTCTGTTTCAGATATTATGGTAAACGGTGTTTATCATGATATATATGAGCCTGGAGTTTTCAGACTCCCATTCCTCTCCTGCTATTTGTAAATAATTTGGGTTCCTGGTTTGTCTGAAAGTAAAAAAAAAAAACAATTAGAGAAATGATCTAGAATTATAAACTACAGCTTGGTATTATCTTTCCTTAAGCAATAGTTAAGAATAATCCGTTTTTCCACATTGAAGTATAGAGTAACTACAGTACATCCAGTTGAAGGGGTTAAAAAAATTCTCAGTCTCTTTTTTTATGATAACTTAAGATGCAACTGAAATAGAGAACTCACGAAACTGATGCTGAATGATCTAAATCCAGCAAGTTCTTGTTGGGTGCAAGGAATCTGCCTTCCCTTCTTGCTGGCATACCCTGAAATAATTCTGGATGCTAGAGAAAGAATCACTTTAGAGTAAAAGTTAGGAAATGGAATACTTGGAATATTTCTACATCTTGGTTCCCAAGATGGATTTTGATCTTTTTGACACAGAAACTAGCCAATGAAAATTAACCAACGAATGACATATTTGATGTGCTAAGTTGATTTCTGTCACTTATATATGTTTTTAATGCATATTTTTGATATTGTTGTGCCTCACCCAGGCTCCATCAGTTTGGAGGCAGAACACATTACCAATATTATGTAGATAAATAAATAATAAAATAAATGATATTCTATTTAAATAATTGCAAGGAGAGAGAAATCAAAATGGAAGGAGATTGTGCATGATATATTTAATATATATATAGGAGCCGAGGTGGCACAGTGGTTAGAGTGCAGCACTGCAGGCTACTTCAGCTGACTACTAGCTGTAGTTCAGCAGTTAAAATCTCACTGGCTCAAGGTTGACTCAGCCTTCCATCCTTCCGAGGTGGGTAAAATGAGGAACCAGATTGTTGGGAGCAACATGCTGACTCTGTAAACCACTTAGAGAGGGTAGCATAGCACTATGAAGCAGTATATAAGTCTAAGTGCTATTGCTATATGTGTGACAAGAACCAATATATTATAATGGAGGACAGAGTAAAAGATGGAAATTTGTGAATTAGCAAACACTTAACATATGTTTCCAGCCCAGCCTCAAGAGAGCTGTTGCCTACACCCAACCTTTTTACTGTATGGGGTTAACAAGTACATGGCCCTCAGGGTAGCCATTATTTCACTGTTCTACCAGAATAGGCTGGTTACTGTTCTGCCACCTGATTGGAAAGGCCTTTACCTCAACAGATTTTTTTTTCCCCCAAGAATGTCAAGGAAGTAAGTCAACAAGGTGAGCCATGGCATTGGAGTTACTGTGGCGACCATGGCACAATGCAGGATTATGTATACCTTCTTCTCAATCTGTGACAACGACCCTTTCTCTCTACTAGATAAGACAAGGCCTTTGTTCCTTTGATAGCTGGGAAAGGAAATGTGTTCTCCCCATTGTTGCAACTCTGAAAAAAAACTGCAGGGATTGAACCTTCTGAAGAGCTTTTCAGAGTATAGATCCATATACAATATGGGAAATTTTTTAAAAATGAGGAGTTCCCAGGTTGGTTCTCCCTCTCACTCACACAACACAACCTGCATGTGGTTTTTCCTCTTGGCACCACTAGATACTTTAGTATGTAGTTGCAGTAATATTTAAAATATAAATTGCAATGCTGGGGGGGGGGGGAGGAGCTGTTAGCACTGTGCTGTATTGGGAAATATTTATACCTTCCTTTCAAACAGGAAAATTGAGCGTTTATATAGTATGGTGATTAAGAGTGTTCCAGCAGCTCACTGGAGAAGTCAAGCTTCAAATCCTGACTTGGCCATAACATTCATTGTCATTCAGGTTGCCACTGTCTTCACAGAGTTATTGTGAAGTTAAAAGGTGGGGAGTGGGGGAGAAAAATACACATCAGCTTTAATTCCTTTTAATTGTATGTTTATCTCACCTTATTTGCTTTTCCTGGAGAATAACTATGTGGTCACTAAGAGTCAATATTGATTTGATGACACTTAATTATTTAGCTTAGTCTGGTTTTTCTTATTGTTCTTCCAACATGGAAAGTTTTGGTCCTGTTCACTTAATAGATGGGGATCTGCAGGATCCCCAAAATAGATAGAGTCGGGCTGTCTGAAATCTCTTACACATTTTGAACATTCCCTGGCATTCTTTCCTTCCGTCTCTCTCATACTAACCACCTTTCCTAAAACGTTTATGCCCTCAAACAACAAATTACTTCTACATCACTAAATAATGAAAAGAAGTAATTAAAACAACAGTGGTATCAAGCAATTTATAAATGTGACTATTGTGGATGGAGAAATAGCTCCTGTAAGATAACTTTTACATTAGTGAACAATGAAAACAACTGCTATTCAGCGCAACCTATCAACCTGACAATTGTGAATGGAGATACAGCTCCTCTAAGTCCTTAATGGAATAGAATCCCTGGCCAAGTAGCAGCTTCTGATAGCTTTTATATTTCCATTTGCTGATCAGTAGCTCTGAAGCATTTCATCTCCTCAGCATGCCATTTTATGATAGAAATAGAGAAAGGAGGTACGTCCTTCAAGCAACCAGTAACATCGAGAGTCTTATCTGCAGCCTGGAAGGAACTAGCACGTACTCCTCTTCCCATTTCTCTCAAACATCCTAAAAAGGTTCTTCCCACCTTAATGGCAATTTACTCCTTTATTGTGAGATAAAGCTCCTTGCCCAGCCATTTTTTCCAGACCGCAGGACATGTCTGCAAAATCTTCACTAAGTGAGTGTGCTTCTTTTCGGGCCAGATAAAAATTAATTGAACAGAAATTGTGGTTTTAAAGTGTTCATTAAGCATCACCATGCAAAAACCCATTTAAAAGAAAAGAATTCTAGTTTTAGAACGTTCTGCATGTTTAAATATCAGCCAAGTGAAATATTGCCTTAGTGCTGTTTTCCTGCATTAATGTGTTATAGGCTGGACTGAAAGGTTGAAAGAAAAAAAAAACAGGAAAAAAGCAATAGCAAAGCACTTATATACTATTACCAAGAAATCTAGATGGACACATTCATAAAGTTGACAAACAGAAATAGAAAATTCCTCAAATTACAGTACATAAACTAGGATGCAACAACAACAGAGAAACAAAGAAAATTGACTATGTGCCCTCAAGTCAGTGTTGACTCTTAGTGACTGCATTGCTAGATTTTCTCCATAATAATCTGTCACTAATCTTTCAGGCCTTTCATCAATACCCCAACTGCACTGCAACTGTACTTCCACCTTTCTGCTAATTATTCCCTTTCCCTTTCCTTTCCCAGCATTAGAGCCTTCTCCAGAGAGTTAGATCTTCACATAATGTTTGTGAAGTAAAGCAATTTGAACCTAGCCATTTGCACCTCAAGTGCTCCCAATGTTCAATTATCGATTTGTTTGTTTTCTTGATTGTCCAGGGTATTCTCAGGAGTCTTCTCCAACACCAAATTTCAAAAGCATCAATGTTCTTCCTGTCCTGCTTTTCAAAGTCCCTGTTTCATTTTCACTTCCATAAAATGTCACAGGGAATGCCATGGCTTGCATGATTGCATGTATAGAAATATCACTATATCTGAATATA